GTAGGCAGAGAGGGAGAAGAGGACAACAAACGAGGGGCTGTGACAAACTGTTTCGTCGGAGTTTCACCGACTCATCAGGAGGCTGAACCCTCAACAGTCTGCAGAAATATATATATATCGTCACATATCGTCACAAACAGAACTGCCCGGTAAACCGTAGGCAGAGAGAGAGAAGAGGACAACAAACGAGGGGCTGTGACAAACTGTTTCGTCGGAGTTTCACCGTTTCACCGACTATATATATATATATATTATCCGCCAACACTCGACCATGCTCAAACTGTGCAGGCTTCGTTTATTAAAAAAAAAGCCTAGTACAGGTCACCATCGAGCCCTCGCCAGTTTGCAAGGGGCGGCAGAGCACGAAACTGCATGGTCTTTTCGTCGACAGCCAGAACCTATGCACCCCATATATATCGCCCCCTTCATGGCACACTGAAGCTTTGTACAGACGCGCCAACACCAAAACAGATGATTTCCAAAACTGACGACTACAGAGAATTTATTCCGGAAAACAACCCACCGTTGACTGTGGGTGGCCCTCACTTTTTCCTATCAATTTACAAACTGAAAAAGTATAGCAATGAACTTCAGGGCAATCAAAGAAACAGCATCTCTGGTTCCGAGTCCCAAGGCCTGCACTCCCTCCTTTGTCCCGAAGTTGGGCCAGTACGGGGTCCACACACAGGCCGAGGCCAACAACCAGGAGCGCCGCCCTTTCGCCAGTTGGTCAATCTAACGGCCAATGGTGGCTGCAGTTTTGTTTTTACTGCGTGCAGAAGTTGGCCCAACTTCCGCAGGCGCCGGTGGCTTAAGCAAAAGCCCAAGCCTTCTCGTTGAACCAGCCATGTGCTCCAGGAGACGCGCAAAGAAAAGTTTGAAAAACTGCTCTTCTGTAAACAGAGGAAAAAGGCCAAGTACGAGGTCGCCCTTCCCCTCCGTTAATCATGTGCAGACTCTGCAGAGTCCAGACACAGAATATCAAACGGACTCTTTCTGAAGTTTGAAATCAAACTCTCAGTGAGCTCCATATAGTTTCTAGGAGGCTTACCCACAAGCTTGGAAACAAGGGGGGTTGCTAGACAGGTATAGACAAAGACTCACAAAGTTATGAACAGAGAGAGAGAGGGACAGACAAACACAGGACTGGGTACAGAAAGGTAGACAGGGATACATACATAAAGTTATGGAACAGAGACAGAAAGACAGGCTAGATACAGGAGTGGAGACAGAAAGCGAGACGTACAAGGCAAAAACAGGAAAGCTGGAGTTGCTTAATAGAGAAAGAGAAGGACAACAGAAAGAGAGAGAAGGTTGGAGGGATGCAGCTCTTGACCGATGGCCTCCTATTTGTCGTGTCTTTGCCGGGTAGATACAGGAGTGGAGACAGAAAGCGCGAAGTACAAGGCAAAAACAGGAGAGCTGGAGTTACTTAATAGAGAAAGCGAAGGACAACAGAAAGAGAGAGAAAGTTAGAGGGATGCAGCTCTTGACCAATGGCCTACTATTTGTCGTGTCTTTGCCGGCTTAGCAGTGGCTGATACAGTGATGCATGCCAGCCGTTGACTATGACAGTATGACCAAATGGTTTGACTCGCGATATCAGTCACTGATATAGGACGCCAGCCGTTGACAATTGCGAGGCTCAAGGCCTCGATAAGCCCTACTGGGCCCTCTTTTCAGTACGGTTGGCCGCCCTAAGTGAAGGCAGGCCCGACCAAGGGCTATTTTGGGGTCTCCACACTACTGGGGAAATTCAGGCAGTTGCGCAGCGCCAGTTGGTTGAAAGCGCCCAGGCCCTGGCTACTTTTACCAAATGCATCTGAGTCAGGGCCTGGGCGAGATACGCAACAAGGACCCAACACAGGCTGCGGGCAGTTGGGCATGGGTAACTGTCACAGGCCCTGGGCCTGATTCGTTCAGACCGGGGCTCAGCCTCCCGGGGCCTACCGGAAGCTTCTGGGCCGGGGCCCGGTGCAGCCAGGTCACACGCAGCAGGCAGGCCACTTCCATTTAGGAAAGTGCCTGCCCCCACATTCCTCACTCGGGTACTGGCTGCATGCTGCGCTAATTGCTGGCCAGGCCCACGTGCTCACGGGCGAGCAGGGAGAGCAGGCAGCCATAGCCGAGCTGCGCTGCATAGCTGGATGGGGCGCATGGTGGTCCTTGGGTGCATGTGACATCTGTGAGTGGGGGATCGAGGTTGTGAGTGATACGAGAGACATACCTGGTGCTTGAGGCGACGGCATTGACCGAGATTTGCTCGGACTTCGAGGGGAGCTGTTGACGTCACCAGCGGCATTGTAGATAGGCTAGATAGGATCTGCCATTTGTAGTCAGGGCACAGAGCGCCAGATAGGAAGTTTGACACTGGTTCATTGTTGATGATGATGAGACTATTCCAACATTGTCACTTGTGAGCTTTTGCTGTGCTCTTATTTGGTGGAACTCGTTTTGCAATTCTGCTTTTGGTTTGAGGTCACGACTATCTGGTCTGATGTGTACGATGCTGCTTGGTTTCTGAAGTTCGCTATCGCTCATTTTCCTTGCACAATGTCCTTATGACCGAAAAATGATTTGACCGTTTGAGTGAAGTCGACTCGCCAGAAGACTGGGAAATCGGGAAACCAGGGAGAGAAGGAAAAATCACATGGCGACGGTGGCGTCCTTCGGGACATCCGTTAAAAAAAAAAAAATGGAAGTACTATAAACAGAGAAGATTAGCGTGGCCCCTGCACAAGGACGACACACATAAATCGAGAAATGGTCTACATTATTATTAAAAAAAAAGAAACATCTGGCTCGAGACTGGCCACCAACGACATTGAGAATTCGGGAAACCACGGAGAGACGAAAAATCACCTGGCTCTAGACTGGCCAGCGCAGACATTCACAAACCCTGTCCGTACGGCCACGGCAGAGCTGGCATCCACCCTTGCATTGTCCTTTTCCCTGATGCTCGCCCGCGCACCCATCCCAGCAGCTGGCCCAACCTGTAAGAATACATGATAAGTCACTGAAATCAGTGAAATGTGCATTAGCACAAACATAAACATACCATCAAAACGTCCCCTCCGAGATATCCGTTAAAATTGGAAAGATAGAGAGAAGATTAGCATGACCCCTGCGCAACGATGACACGCACATAAATCGAGAAGCGGTCCAAGTTTTCCACAAAAAATAAAATAAAAATCAAAACGAGCAAAACCCATCGGACGACGATACACTCTCCAAATTTGCACATTTGCTGCTGAGTAGTGCAGGTGAGGCCTACGGTCACAGTCGTTTGTACAGTAATTAGACATAGGCACAGACAGGCGTTATGCAACTGATTGAAATTTGAAACGCAATCCACAGCAAACTTGCACATTTCCATCTACACATGCAGTTATGAAGGAGACAAGGCAAATCCACACCGAACCGGAGAGAGATACACAGCACAGCCGAAGCACAATATGCAAAAATAGACTCGAACTGAAGATTCAACTCTGAATTCCGCCTTCCTCCTCCAACCAATCAGCGTTACGCAAATTCCAGAATCTCGACCGTGTTTCAACAACTGCAAACAGAATTAAACAATGTTAATTCCAGCAAAGTATCTGGGAGACCTCTTCTTCCTCCTCCCTATCAGTTCCCACAGGTCTTGCTATGGCTACGGCGCTACCCTGAAACAGCGCCCCAACCCCAACACCTGCAGCACACCGACACAACCTCCTGTCTCAAGAGCCGACCACGCAAACACCGAATTCCCTGATTGCAGTCCTAGCGCCCATTCCAGGGAGCAGCGCCAGTCTCCCTTCGAAGAAGAAGATGTCAACCCCCTTTTTCATTTTTCCTCCTACCCCCCATCATTGGGGGGGAAAAAAAAAAAAAAAAAAAAAAAAGACATACTTTTCTATCAATTTCAGAACTTGCCCTTATATTATTGACGAAAATAATCAAATATAACAGTTCTAAACAATATATATATATCGTCACAAACAGAACTGCCCGGTAAACCGTAGGCAGAGAGAGAGAAGAGGACAACAAACGAGGGGCTGTGACAAACTGTTTCGTCGGAGTTTCACCGACTCATCAGGAGGCTGAACCCTCAACAGTCTGCAGAATCCCCTCACTGATTACACTGTAAATGATAATCTACCTTAACCAAAATCAAACCCACACCAGATGGAAAACTCTACAGACTGTCGGTTCACACCCCATCACAAGCCAGCAAAACATCCACGAAACAAAGAAAGGTCTGTCACAGCCAAAAAATACACTCCAGACACGCCCTGGCACTAGAGGCACAGCATGGCCGCCTAGTAACGGCCCCGACCACTGCCGCTCGACCTGACCGGAAAAAATCGTAGCAGGAAGCTAGCGAAGTCGTAGTATATATCGTCACAAACAGAACTGCCCGGTAAACCGTAGGCAGAGAGAGAGAAGAGGACAATATATGATTCTCCGACTTTGTTTTAGTTTGTACCCACGATGAACATTTCAAATGTTGAAAAAAAGCAAACTGCCGTGCTGCACTGAAGAACGAGGTCTGCACACCAAACAAGGGCATTTTGGAAATTTGGACGGACTCCGAGGGAGTTGTGTCAATTTTTTTAGAGCATCAAAACTTCAAAAGGCTCCAACAACTCCCAGAATTTAATTATGGTTAAGAAAATTCACCATAAAAAAAAATGGCATAATTTTTCCATAGAATTCATACATATATACAGTATTATACACCATGGTTTTTTTTTTTTGTGTGTGGGGGGGGGGGGTGTAAATGCCTCATTTTTATGTTTTTTTTTTAAATAAACTACTCTTTTTTTATGGCTCCCTTTTGGGTTGTTCTTTTCGTGTGTGTGTGTGTGTGTGTGTGTGTGTGTGTGTGTGTGTGTGGTGCGATGGACCACGGGTCAAGATATTTACCAACTGATCAGAAACAGATACAGTGCACTTGAGCTGACTTAGCCAGGTGCACTGTATCTGTTCTGAACTTCTGATCAGTTCGTAAATAGGACCACGGGTCAGATACTTATGAATGATCAAGAACAGATACAGTGCACTTGAGCTGACTTAGCCAAAAGGCGGAGAGAGTTATCGCTCCTTTTTTTCCCAATGGCAGATACAGTGCACTTGACCTCACTTAGCAAAAAAAAAAGAAGACCCTTCAATTACCAAAAGAAAACAGACCCAAAAAAAAAAAAAAAAAAAAACCTTTGAAGAAATGCCTGCTTTGTTTTTTCACACAATTAAATTGCTGAGTCGAAATCCCACCAAACAAGCTTGCAGCCAACCTGACCTTTATCATCCTCTCCATGCTGAACCGGTCCATCACCGCCATAGCCACAATTCTTCTTCGTCTCCCACCACTTTTTCCTCCTCCTCCTCCTCCTCCTCCTCTTCCTCCTCCTCCTCTTCCTCTCTCTCCCTTGGTCAAGCCTGCTTGGCTTCGCAATGACGACATAGCCGCTGCTCCAGATTGGAGTCGAGATAGGTCACACCATCGCCATTGTCTTCTACATCCCGCGGTGGAGAACTTGTCCACATTCACGTCCACATTCATGTCCCCATCTGACCGTCTGAAGCAGACGAAGCATGAAGCCAGATCCCTTGGGCTTGACAGGACAGTCGAAACCCGAGTTCGTGTCTCTCTGCATCTGCGGGAGAGCGGGGAGGAGTAGGCGAAGGAGTACGAGAAGCAGGAGTAGGAGGGGCAGGAGTAGGAGTAGGAGTAGGAGGGGCAGGAGTAGGAGTAGGAGTAGGAGGAGCAACAAGAGGAGGAGGAGGACAACAGTGGGGCGATCTGGATCAGCCCCTTTGATCTTGATGTCGATGTTGATGTTGATGTTGACGAGTTCGAACCACTGGGATGAAATCCATCCCGCCCATATTTGCCATCCCTGCAAGAGGTCAAGAATAGGCCACTCAAACCCAGACCGCCATCGCTCCTGGTTAACTTTGCCGCAGGCAAGACCCCAGCAGTCGCCATAGCTGCAGAGCTCCAGAGAGCTCTTTTCCTGCGCAAAAAACGGAACAAGCAGGAACGCGAAACACGAAGTCAAGTTCTGTGTCCACCAAGTTTCGAACCACTGACCTCATACCCATTTGCCACTTAAGGACCCTTTAGTAATTGATTCCACATATGCCTCTTAAGGACCCTTTAGTAATTGATTCCACATTGTGTCACCCCCTTCTGATCCATTGCCATTACAGAGACTCGACACATTGACCTCATGTGTCTGCCACTGTTAAGTACCTTTGACTGATTGCCACTTTACTTACCCTCTAGCTGATTGCCATTTCATTGTGGTTCGACCCACTGATCTCATGTGTATATGCCACTCAAGTACCCTTTAATTACTGATTGCCATTTTACCCTTTAGTTACTGATTGCCATTATACCCTTTAATTACTGATTGCCATTTTTTACCCTTTAATTACTGATTGCCATTTCACTGTGGTTCGAACCACTCAAGTACCCTTTCATTTGATTGCCATTGTCACTTTTTGATTGATCGCCATGCCGCCGTGATTCGAACCATCGACCAAGTAGTACCCTCTTTTTTTCTTTTCTTTTCTTTTTTCTTTTTTTTTTTTGTTCTCAAAACAGCATCGACCAAGTACCCTTTAATTGATTGTCAGTGCCACTTTGTTTTTGCTTGATCGCATTCGGGCCATTGACCTCATGCGTCTGCCACTGAAGTTAAAAGGATTGCTATTGTATACCCCCCCCCTTTAAAAAAAAAAAAAAACGGCTATACTTTATTTAAGCCCAACGAATTGGCCAGGTGCGAGAGGCGATACTACCCCCCCCCAAGTCACTCAGCAAACGGTCGTTTTACCCCGACCTCACCCGACTGCTGCACTCCCTCCCTCCCTCCCTCCCTTCCTCCCTCCCTCCCYCCCCCTTTCTCTACCCCGCCGCCCCCCTTCCTGCCGTACCACAACGCTCCCGGCCTCCTCCCGTCCTCCCCTTCCTCCTGATCGTATACTCCTGCTCCTGCTCTTCGTGGATCTCCTCCTCCTCCTCCTCCTCCTCCGCCTTCTCCACCACCTTCTCCTCCTTCTCCTCCTCCTGTCATTGCATCTCGTCGCCTGACGGAGGTGATGGGAAAGGGAAGACAAAACCTTTGCGTACCAGAAGATTAGAAAGACGGGGGCAGAGAAGAGAGGGAGGGGGTGAGACGACGCGCAAAGAGGAGGAGCAGGCAGCAGAGATGAAGGACGGGAGCACAACAGCCGGTCAAGACGAGAAAGGGCTCCTGTTGAACCGAACGGGTGATCGAGAAAGAGGAGGTAACTCCTGTTCTTGTCATCCCCGCCGTATAACTGATCATCATCTGTTTTGATTTTCGTCACAGGTACCTTGAGGGCAGTGGTTGGTGGTCCCCACCACCTCAGAGGGGTATCAGTTGTCGGGCAGTCGTTGATGCTTAACCACAACCGGGGTTAAGCGGGATTATCACTTACAGTGTAATCAGTTTGGGGATTCTGCAGACTGTTGAGGGTTCATCCCTCCTTATGATATATACTTATATATCGTCAAACACAGCTGCCCGGTAAACCGTACTAGGCAGAGAGGGAGGGAGAAGAGGACAAGAAACGAGAGGCTGTGACAAACTGTTTCGTCGGAGTTTCACCGTCTCATCAGGAGGATATATATCGTCACAAATTTATCAGAGCGCAAATGCGAAAAAAAGAAGAAATAAATTCATTTTTTATCTTCTTCCTTACAAGACTCCCCCTGTTCAAAACCTCTTGCGTACAAGGCCGCCCACGTGGATATATATAGATACATCGTCAAACAGAACTGCCCGGTAAACCGTAGGCAAAGAGGAAGAAGAGGACAACAAACGAGTGTCTACGACAAACTGTTTCGTCTTAGTTTCACCGACTCATCAGGACGCTGAATATATATATATATATAGAGAGAGAGAGAGATCCATAGATATAGATACATATATATTCAGCCTCCTGATGAGTCGGTGAAACTCCGATGAAACAGTTTGTCACAGCCCCTCGTTTGTTGTCCTCTTCTCTCTCTCTGCCTACGGTTTACCGGGCAGTTCTGTTTGTGACGATATATATATATCGTCACAAACAGAATATATATATCGTCAAACAGAGCTGCCGCCCTGGTAAACCGTAGGCAGAGAGGGAGAAGAAGACAAGAAACGAAGGGCTGTGACAATCTGATTTTTTTCCTCGGAGTTTTTCAAGTGCCACACTTGGCCACGCTTATTGTCAATTTATGTACGTACACGTGCGCCGACGGCGAGCGAGGAGGCAACCGGATGCAGAGATAGATGCACATGCACACGCGGAGCAACGCGACAAGTGCAGGAAATCGGAGACCATGGACATGATGAACATGATGAACATATGGTATTGGACACTTGCATGCATCCTCCTTTTCGCTTCTTTTCTTGCAAGGGGCGAGGGAGGGGGGGGGGGGGGGGGGGGGGCGGAGGAGGGAAGGGAGTAATCTTCACCCTCGGTATCGTCGTCCCAACTTGACTACGGATGTGATGTCCCGAAGAACACATTCATTCTTGGTCTAAACAGAGCCCATGGAGAAGAACAAGGTAGCAGGAAAAAAGAGAGAGAGAGAGAGAGAGAGACAATAATTAATAATTAGTAATTATCGAAATAAGCAATGGCCAGGATAGTGCTTCTGGGGAGGTGATGATGATGATCCAATATAGAAAGAAAAAGCAGAAGGGCATCGCCACACCACTCTCGAAATGCGCAAAATGAGAATGAACTTCCCAGTAAAACATGACCAGATGCTCCTGCCACTTTTTTGTCTTTTTCACATTTCGAGAGTGGTGTGGCGAGGCCCGAAGAAGAAGAAGATAGTACTTCTGTAGACGCAAGACTGATTACGTCACACAAAAATACGGCGGACAAAAAGCTAACCAAAAAATAAAAGATAGTATAGTATTTCTGTAGACGCAAGAATGATTACGTCAGACAAAATCCGGCGGACAAAAAAGCGAAACACGCAAGAATTATTACGTCAAAAAAAAAAAAAAAAAAAAAAGACGTCAGACAAAATCCGGCGGACAGGTCCAGGGTCTGTAAGTCCCAGGGCATACTCACACTGGAACTTTTTGGAATTGCCCTCACACTGGAACTTTTTGGAATTGCCCTCTCACTCACTGGAAATTTTTGGAATGGATCTTCCAAGATGGCAGTAGGATACATCTATGAAGCCCTGCGGTTGTGTCCCCTTTCGCCTTCCAGAGTCCAAAGGGACTGGACGAAGGAAAAGGGGTAATGAAAGAACAACTCGCATAAAGCCGGACATCAAGGGATGAGAAGCAAGAGGGGGGAGGGGGGGGGGGAGGCATAGGGGTAGGGAGCACGAGGAGATTTGAGGGCATGCATTAGTCACACAGGGACGTTTTTCCGTACTAACCTCTGGACGTGATTGCGGTCAGATTCATGCCGGTCTGGCCATAATTGCGGTCAGATACACTTGGGAACGTGCTAGTGTGAGTACGCCTTGAGAGATCGCGGGAGCCGACGAGTGTAAAGCGAAGTGGTGTGAAGAATTAATGTGCTCTTTTTTTCTTTTTCTTTTTTTCCAAATGTGCTCTTTTTTTTTTTTAATACACAAAAAAACAAAGGACACATCAATTATTGTTAATGACAAAAAAAAATTAGTGAAAACTTCACAAAAAAAAAAAAAAAATTGAAAACAGTGGCAATACTGCCAATACATAGACTGCTTCTCGTACAAGCATCGACAGACAGATCTGCATTACTTCTCCGCATGTACAGTGCCCAGTATGCAACGCGCAATTTCCCCGACGCGTTTCGGCTAATCAGGCTGCTGCGCTCCTGGCACTCACTCCTCAGGGGCCAAGTCCCACTAGCAGCGTTGAGCTACCTCAACGCCCGAATCTGGACGCTTTTGCGGATATGTGCAGAAATGGTGTTGGGTTTCCTGAACTGCACGTCTCCACAAACACGTCCAGATTCAGGCGTTGAGGTAGCTCAACGCTGCTAGTGGGACTTGGGCCCAGGGGGTTTCTCCCCAGACTACGCCTTGCGGCACCACCAACTTTCCGACCGACTGAGAAAGAAAAAAAAAAAAAAAGAGAGAGAGAAGGGGTGTGGTGTGAACTGTCAAAGCAGCATGTCCTACAAGAAGCAAGGAGCGACGGCGCATAAGCCGGCTTGGTGCTTCACGAAGATGAAGCGATGGCGTTGGCGTCCTTCGTCGTCTCCAGACCACAGAGAGGACGGGTCAAAAAAAATCGGACTGACTTGCGTTTAACCCCCCTCCTCGCTCCCACCATCCTCCATCCAGCTGTGAAAAAGACGAAAGAAAAAGTGCTTGTATCTTGCCAACGTTCTAGCTCAAGATACACTCGCCATTTCTTTTGCACATATCCTTCGATGAGTGATGGGTATTGCAGCAAGTCCAGCACGCCTTCGTCGCCTTCGTGCAAACATGTGGAACGCTGGACCCTGGGCCTCGACGGACGGCACAAGAAAACGGGACCGAAACGGAACGGAACGGAGCCGAAACGAAACGACTATCGAACTCGCGGGGTTTCGCGAGCCGCTAAACGGTCGTTTCGTTTCGTTTCATTTCTGGTCTCACCGTCGCACAGCACATTCGAACTCCCTCGGGGGAGCGACCTGACGAGATTCGAGTGGGTTTGGTTTGTGCTGTGCGGCGGCGGGCGTTTGCTACGCGCATACCGCCCTGCGCCTCATTGGACGTCGGTGCACTACTCTCCGAATGTGCAAAATGACAGCAAATCTTCAGGTAGAACATGGAAAGATACATTGCCAAAATTCTGGACCTCGGTGGACGAAACATCCGTGAGGAATCGCGTGGTGTGTTCTTGATCGCGAGTTCTGGCAAGCGCTTAATATCTGATCTGGACGGACTTCCCATACTCGAGTACAGTCGCAGCGCCTCCACAGGTGAGCAAAACGAAGTAGTTTTCTTTGGCCTGGACCCCACAGGAATGCCGCAAGGAAAACTTTTGCCGCAGAATTGTTTCCGGGAGACCACATAGCCGGGAAAAGTCTGTGGAAAAGTTTTGTGTTTTCCACAGAAGTGTTCCGCGGGGCCCCACATGCGGCGCTT